TGGTATGGTGTAGGGTCCTTGCCCAAGCGGGGGATTGAACCCCAGTCTACAGCGTACGTGTACATACAGATATACATACATTACATACAATATACACTTAATGTTTTAGCAGCTCAGAAATTGAGGCCAAGCATTAATGAACTTGTGTCACCAGGTGTCTCGTTCAAGCAAATAGGTAGGTTCAAAAGACTCCTGGGGACATTTAAAATATCTGAAACATTCAAAATTATGTAATATTTCAAGGTTTACTATAAGTGTCTGGATTTTTCTGCTGACGTTTTTGTATATTTTGCAGAAACAATGCTCAGCTCAGGTTATAGCAATAAAACACAGTTGTTCTCTGGCCCATGGAATTGTTGAGGTTTTTCAATATGGTCCTTTTAGTGGTAGAGTTTGACTCCCCTGACTTAATGAAATGTGTACGTGAGTCCAGCACAACACTGATTCAATCATCCCTCATAAGAGCTTAATAACACTAAAATAAATAACTGGATGATTTTATCAGTCTACTCAGGCCTTAGTAGGTACTTCAGTGTTTAGAAAAGGGCCATCTGTTGAGCTCCTATTTAGGGTATGTCCAACAAGTGTGTTTGTCACCAACAAACAGTTATAAAACAGTTTATAAACAAGCATTGATGGTGTTTCTTTTAAAAATTGCATGTTTTTTTTTTATTTTTTGATAAACATTCCAAAATAATTCTTCTAAACATTGTAAAATTTCTGTTTTCTGAATACTGCCTTAAAATGTAATGTGACCAAATTACAGATTACAGATTCTGTATTCTCAGCGTATTTCATTACATCCTAACTCTGCCAATTTCTCTGTAAATCTCTCACTAAAAGCTGGAAACATTTTAAGGGTGTAATAATTCCAGTACAATAAGGGGGAGAAAAAAAGGAACTGTGAAACCTCACTATCTTCTCTCTTTAGCATCCTTCTGTACCAACTGCATAGTTTTTTGCAAACACATGCTCATTCTGAAACCGATGCCTGTAGCATGTTCCACAAAGTTAGAACTGGGGCAATTTAAGACGAGGAATGTTACAAAATGTTCAAAAAACATCCTAAACAGGTGATGCAGTCAAGCTTGGGTACAAAAAGAAGCACCCAGGTAAAGCCTAGTCCTTTAAGAGCAGGGATGGATTGAGGCTTGCCACTTTGCCAGAAAAGCATCAGTGAGTAATCCAACAGTTTAAGAACAATGTTCATCAATGAACGACAGAGATGACAGATTCACTCTGCAAGAGATTTGGGTAATTCACTTTCTACAGTGCACAATACCAACAAAAGTGGCAAGGCCGAAAACCACAACCTTCAATCTCTGAGAGGGCACTGCACTTAAAACCAGCACCTTCTGTGACTGATATCAACACATTGGCTCAGGAATAACAACAGGAATATCAACAACGTCCAGAAACACCACCAACTTCTCTGGGCTCAAGCTAATCTGAAATGGACTGAAGCACAGTGGAAACATGCGTCGTGGTCTGCTGAGTCAACCTTTCAGATTGTTTCTGGAAATAATCAAACTCGAGGCCAAAGAAGGAAAGGACCGGCTGTATTATTACCAGAGTAAAGTTGAAAAGCCAAGATCTGTCATGATATGGGGATGTATTAGTGTTCAAGGCGGACTATATGGTCACACAGCTGGAGATTTATATAACAGAAGAACTGCTCTGATGTCACAGATCGGCCAGCTCACACTGCAACTAAAATTTCAACTTCACCACCCGACTTTAAACTCTCTGACACTGAACTCTGCAGTACGCAGGCTCTCTAGGACTGAATTTGACCCCCTGCCCCATCTGAATGGTTGGGAAGGTTCCTATCACTGATCTGAACTGAACTTGCACTTAACCTGCCCTGAGGAAGGTCAGACACTGTAATTTACTTCATAAGAACCCAAGCCGCTGTGCTGCCTTCACAATGAGGTCAGCTGAAACACAACTTCAAAAATACTGTCAAAAATATTTGTCAACATCTTTTCTGGAGATAGAGGTAAATGAGGTGAAAGTTATTGAGCAGTGCAGCGTACAGCAGATATTTGGCCTGCAATGTGCCAAAGAGAGGAATGCAGAAGTTCACTGTGTCTTTTCATTCGAAATCTTTCAGCCCAGCAGTACCTCAGTCTTGCATCAATCATTAATAAATCATCTTGCAGCTGCTCAAGATAATTATTAATAAAAGGAGTAAAGTTTGCCAGACTGGCAAACTCCAGCTGACCCAGTTTAACTTAACTTAAAAAAAAAAAAAATTGACTCTCAGAGACTGAGATTTGGGCAGGAAAATCTAATTCCTGAGGAGCTGAAAAGCATTACTTACTTTACTGGTTTGATTCTTTCATAATACATACTTAAGTCCACTGTTTTCATACTTCAATTGTAATCTTTTCTACAGGAGCCCACTTTTATGCATTTTGCTGTCTCTTTTTCTATATAACAATCTTTCCATTGTGGCTAAGAAAGACTTTTTTATGTGATAATGGTAGCCTAGCTAAAAACAGCATTTCCAACATAATGGAACAAAAAAATAATAATAATTAAAATATCCCAACTCCCAATTTTAGTCTTGGTGTGCTAAATAACTTGTTTTTGGCAAAACAGTTTAGGAATTAAAGAGACACTGCAGACAGATAATAAAACCCCTATACTGGAGGGCCATGTCTTTGTGTGTTTGAAAAGTGTTTCTTTGCTGGACCGCCCAGCAGGCCAGCCTATAAGAATCTGAGTTTCTTAGTAAGTCACTGACTGAGTGACTGACTGATATCTACTGTTGGAATGTGCATGCACAAGCTTTGCCCCGAGACAAAGAGTAGGTGGCGCTATTCACTTAATTAAAAGAAGCCATGCTATTGCCCACATTATCATACCCTAAATGTAGAGCTAACAAACAAACAATGAAAGCATATTACTGAAACAAACATCTTACAAGAACAAAGAAAGCTCAGCGGTGAGTATTGAGTGTTTATTTAAACTCAGGCTGCGTCTGACTTTCATTAGAAATTCTCATCTTGCAGTGTAAACAGTGTTATTTTTTCATTTTTACTTTTTCAGGTGAGGGTAAAGTGCTAGTATGTGACAACTAAGTGCACCCGAAAGAAAACTGGAGTAGTAGTTTGACACTTTGATCGCTATTTTTAGGATTATCTTTTTGCAAAGAGTTCGCCGCTGTAATGTTTGCTAGCTCGAAAGCTATAATGCAAGTGCTATTAGCAGGTAGTGAACATTTTAGAGCATTTAGAACATTTTTTCCTTTTACTTTTACACTCAAGAGAAAATTATACATTTGCACAACTTTGCAAATGTGTCTGTGAAACTGTAGCAAATGTGTATTATAATACCATGCCCTAATGACAGTTATAGAGTCTGCTCATTTAGACCTAGCTAGAGAGCTAACTATATCATCTTCATGGATTTATTCATAATTTATTAATAAGTTATTTTTATTAGTAGTATCTTCATACCACTACATCTACTACTAGCAGTAGTTACTATAATAATAATAATAATAATAATAATAATAATATACAAAATCTTCCAGCAGTCCAGCAAAATTAGGCTTGCCTAGTCTTGCTTTTTCACTAGCTGGCAAACACAGATGAAGGCTTATGTTACTGTCTGGAAGCAACAGACTAAAAAAAAAAAATCCCACTGATGCATCATCAGAAAGGGTTTTGCAGCTGTGGAAGTTTGTTTTTCTCGAGCATGGAATGCAGCAGTGGCATACGGGAAGGTGGGCATTTTGAAAAGTACAAACTTAATCAGACAAAAGTGCTCATGATGAAATCTACTCGGCTGCTTCGAGCTGAACTTTGTCAGCTCAGTGTGCCACACAGAAAGACGTACACAAAAGCTTTCTGTGCTTGCCTAAGCGGGGAAACGAACCCAGTCTGCTAAACTCTAGGCAGTGTCATTACCCACTATATTACATCAACCGTTAATGCGGCTAATACATCATGAAGATCAACTTCAAATGTCTGGACTTTGGATTGGACCACTGGATGCAGTTAGAGTAATTATGAATTTAAAAAACGGGCTTAAAACATTTTTGTAAATTTGTTGCATCATTTAACATTTGATGAGCAATTATTAATGAATTTTTTTTATTTTTTTATATGTAAAAATGTTTTTTGCTAGGCTTCCATTCCATGTTTTTATTTTTAAATGTTTATTTTATCTTTATTATTTTTGTTATTGTTAATTTTATTATTACTTTTAGAATGATTTATTTTTGAATTTGTATTACCTTTTTATGATTCCTTCCTCATTCAGTGCTTTCATTTTTTCTAGTTTCGGTTCCTCTTTTATGCTGGTTTTTTATTGTCTTTCTCCTTGTAAATCACTTTGAGCTGCATTACAAATGTCCGAAAGGTGCTGTATAAATAAAGTTCCCACGGCTAAGATCATGAGTCAGATGGATGGTCCTGATAAATCAGATTACACATGCACAGCAGCAGAGACTGATTGTGCTTGATTTGTGTTGAGAAAAAAAAAATATTTGATATTGCTTGTGCTTGTGAATTGATTCATCTTTCCTACTTAAAACCGAAAAAAGAAAAAAGGGGAATTATTTTTGGCAAATGGTCCTTTAATATCTTCATTCTTGGGCGTTATGGGCTTTTCTGTTCATTTACAGAAACAATCAGGATGGCTATACACTTAAATTTCAATTTTGATGCCAGGATAAAAAAAAATAAAAAAAAACAAAAACACAAAAATGCATTGCCTCTCAGAAAGGGAAGGTTCATTTAGTCATATTTTTGTGCTAATTTTGATATGGCCAGCTTCACAAGACAAATCTATGAACTTACATTTAGTAATCATCACAGCTAAAAACTACACATACTAAAAACCGTGGAAAGAACGTGACACACATATTAAGTTCGTTTACCACATGATTAGGAAAACTTACATTCCTGAGCTTTAAATCGCTTCAAAGCTCCGAGCAATGGCAGGCTCCCTGTGAGCGGCACTTAAGAGCTAATATTTGTTAAACTCACCCCCAGGCGGGTACCGAGGCGGTGGGGACAGGAGGAAATCCATTTTGTCCTTCAGATCTTCTTCATTTTCTTTCTCCCACTGAGCACCAACTTGCCTCCAAAGCTCCACAGCCACGTTCCTGAAGAAAAGCAATAGCATGTTTCAGAAATGATGAATTCTCTGTCTGAGCAACGAGCTTCAAATCTGAGACTCAGTCTCACAAACTGGAAGATCCATTATGAATCATTCATGTTTCAAAAACATTTTAATAGATAGTTTAAGTTCCTTGAAGAACCTTTAATGTACACACTTAAGAACAAAGGTGCCACTAAGGGTTCTTTGAGACAGGCCACAAGAGAAACACTATTGCTTCCCTAAAGAACCATGTTTGAAAAAGAGATCTGTGAGGGTGAAGAACATTTAAAAAGTTTAAAGAACCTTCACATGAAGCAAAGATTTTATACCCACTTAAGGGTTCTTTTTAGAATCTACATTCTGTCGAGGTTCTTTAAACTTTAAAAAGGTTCTTCACACTCACACATCTTTTTCAAAAATGGTTCTTTAAAGAACCATGTTCTGAAAGGTTCTTTGACATCATGTTAAAAACCCTTTCTGGCACATATATTTTTGAGAGTTCCCTCAAAGATCATCCAAAAATGTTTTGTTTTCCATATAGAACCATGAACATTCAAAGAACCCTTTGCATCATGAAATGGTTCTTCAGACTGATGGAGAATGTGCTACAGATGGTTCTATATAGAACCTTTTTGAAAAGAGTTCTATATAGCACCCAAAAGGGTTCTTCTATTGTTACAAGCTTGACATCATAACAGTAGAAGAACCCTTGTTGGTGCTATATAGAACCCCCTTTTCTAAAGGTTCTACATAGAACCATCTACAGCACATTCTTAAGAACCCATTTATGATGCAAAGGGTTCTTTGAGTGATCATGGTTCTATACGGAACCATCTTTACTAAAGAAACCTTTTAAGAGTGCAGAATGGTATGTTAATATGTTGATTGCTATATTTAGAATTACTGCTTTGCAAAGAGTTTGCTAAGGCGATGAAGCTGTTTTGAAGCTAACGCTATTAGTATTTACGCCAGGCTTAAACAAGTTGTTTGGCTCAAATTTTTACATTTGACAAAGAAAAATAAGACTGTAAATATGTATATCTATATTACAGAACTGATTACTCACCTATCTGTATTTCAGAGTGTGAATATGATAATAATGGACTGTGTAGGTTGTTACCTTATCTCTGGGATGTCATCGCTGAGGCTGCTGAGCAGCAGTGGAATGAGCTTGTGGAAGTAGGAGTATCTGTCCCGCAGGTGGAGGAGCCAGTGACCAACCACGACCGTCACAGCTTTCCTTACCTGAACAGAGAAGAACAATGAGAAACTTCAAACAAAACATTCCCCACAACAGCAGCAAATACAGCTACACTAACAGACACGACTCTCTGTGTGTTTGCTCAGTACTCAGATGCGCAGCGTGTTATTTTGAATGAAACAGCTTTATTTGAAATTGGTGATGGACAGAGTTGTCTGTAGGGTCTGCATTTCAAATAGCGTGGACCCAGCGTTTTGGTACAATGTGAGCACATAAATCGTAAGCTTTGTCAAACTCATCAGCTACACAATGGACCAAACATACAGTGTAAGACACCAAAGAACAAACAGTGTATGTCTGGCTTTAAAAGACATTCAACTACGGCTCAACCTGCCAAACAAAATAGTCTGAGAAGACACAAAACGCGAAAAGTGAGCTCTTCTGACGCACTATTGTCGGATGTGATTCCTGCTGTCGCTGTGCTACAGAGACTTTGTTGAAAGAGACAGATGAGGATCAAAACTATGAAATGTACTTTACTTACAGCTGTACAGATGTGTATGGAACAAAAATGTGACGTTAGTCAATTCAAGATAAATAATCCAGCACGGCCAATTAAAACACTAATTTAAAGGGGACCTATTACACTTATTTTCCATGTTCTAGAATGTTCTAGAACTAGAATACATTTACATACTTGAGTGCTCCAAAAACACATTTTTCTCCTACTGTACATCTGTATTCACCCTCTGTCTGAAACGCTGTTAGTGTTCCTGTATCTTTAAGTGCCCTCTCCCAATGAACCCAGTGTGCTCTGACTGGTCAGCTTGTCCACTTTGTTCTTATTGGTCAATTGCTAGATCAGCTCTGCCTACATGTTCCGCCCCTGTCTTGCAGTCTGCAGACAGACCCCTCTCTCCTGAGCAGCTGTGAACACCGGTCTGGCTATTTTTCCAGTGGCGTCGGTTCTGCCGCATCAGTTTGAGTTTGAGTGTTAGTGTGTGCCAAGCTTGCCAGTAGGCGGGCATTAAGGATTGTTTTACGAGATTGTGCCATAGAATAAGCATACTGTTTGCCACCTGCCCCACTTTATGAAGGATTTCGTTATTAGCTGGTAGGTTTGATCAGCTGTGGTCGGGGCTGGAACTGGGAAGCCCCGCAGAAATGGTTGTGCATGAGAGATTAAAGGTGATCTAACCTGTGGAGAGTCGTCGAAGAGTCTCTGTGCCAGGTGAGACAGCACGTCATCCACATTCTTCCCCGTGCCGAATTGAATAACAGCGCCGGTTGCCTCTGTGGCAGCCACTCGCACACGGGAGTGCTGGTGAGAGAGTGTCTGCATTAGGGGCTTCACCAGACTCTCCGCCTGCATGTGGAAATGATCTAAACAAACACAAACACAAAGGGCTTTCAGAAACAAGTTGCTCATCAAAGAGAACAATGGAGACTGACATGACTCAATAATTACCAAGATATTCTCTTGTTAAAAAAAATTGTCTAGACACTGGTTCCATACGTAGTGAATCAGTACACAGTAAATACAAAGTCAGGCCCTGGCTGGGTCCCTGGTACCACAAGCATCAACTGGACAGTGTTACTGGCTGTATTGTGATTTTCGGGATGGTATATTTCATTAATTTCATTAACTTTCTCATTTTGTTCACACCAAAACCCAGATACAGTCATGTGCCAGTCACACATTTCATTATAGCAAAAGATTAATGCAATTAATTCACTTGAGGACACAGCAGCCATGCCAGTTTCCAGTAGTGCTGCTAACGGTGGTGCACATAAGCATGTAATTGCAGCTACAGCTAAAATGCTATTCGAAGTCGGTAACAAGCAATGTTTTTTTCTCTGTATGTTTCTTTCAGCGAAGATTTAAATGGGAAGCCTGTTCGTGAACATTTTAGATTAGCGTGTTAGCTATCTGCTAACCAGGCCAGCCATTGTAATGTCATATCTTTGTTGAAGCTGATTTAAAAATATTTGCAACACTTGTGAAATATAACATGTTATAGTTTGTTCTATTAGGTAGCAATATCTGTTAGATAATGGCACACATCAACATTTAAGCATACAATTCAGTGGCATGAATGCATCACCCGTGTCCGTGAGAAAGGTAATTTTGGTCGGGGACCGGACTAAACTAAACGCGTAACAGCAATATGGACAGACATATTTCATAGCATGGTACACAAAAGGGTTAAATGGATAACCAATTGGTAATTGGTGAATTCGTTGGTAATAATGAGGAGATTTGCAAATCCCGTCCCACACAGCAATCGGATTTCAGTCTAACTGGAGACGCATCTGACTACTAAGTTTAAATGCATGTGGCTAAAATCTTATCAGTATACAATCCAGATACCAGTCACATGAAGTGACCAGGTGTAAATGGGTCTTTCATGTGACCGATGCCACCAATGTCACAAACAAAACAGGTGACCCAAAAAGGACCGGAGGGATCCACCTCCCTGAAAAAGGTTGTCCCTGATTGGTCACGAAAGATCCACCCTGATTGGTTCACAGGCTGTTCATGATCCTAAATCGCAAACTTCACTTGCTCTTAAACAAGTTGGTCATGCAGCATGAGTAACCATGATGATGTATCCTGGTAAAAGCGATCCAAGAAAATTCAGTGTTAGATCAAACTAAGCTTAAAGTGAGCCGGCTAAACAAGAAAGGCCCTCTGATCAAACTAATAAGCTCATTAGCATGTCCTTCCTGAGCTGAAGTGCTAAAGCACAAACTATAGCACTAAAATATGCACATATTATATGCCAAGTTTATCTTTTTTCCTCATGTTGTTTGTATTTGTTCAGTTATTTCATTTTTATCATATTTGATTTGTCCTATATTTTGCTTGCCTTCCTGTGTAAAGCACTTTTTAATTTTGCAATGTTTTGTAACTAAAATGGAAAATGATGAATAAATGAAGGTAGTGGTGATAATGATGATGATAATAATGATTATTAATATTTTTGTTGCTGTTGTTGAAACAAGATAGTGAGAAAGCCTACTTCCAGGTAAAGGAAGGTAAAAAAAAAAAATAGCATACTTTTTTCCCCTCATTTTTTTTGGTAACAGTATGTCTAAATGCTAGTATTTTCAAACATTAACATATTACCATAAAATAATTACTTATTTTCTTGCAATTTAAGTAAGATATTATTTTGAGATCCTAACACAAAATGTCAGAAAAGTCAGTTATTATTTTAGAGAGTGAGTATTTTGAGATACTAAGTAAAATTTGGGAAAGTGTGCAATTAATTTGACACAGTAAGTCATTATTTTGAGATGTGAAGTCATTATCATAAGGCATTATTTCCATATATGTCATAATTTGGAGATACTAAGTCATAATTTGGAGATACTAAGTCATTATTTCCAGAAAGTAAGTCATTATTTCGAGATACTAAGTCATTATTTCCAGAAAGTAAGTCTTTATTTCGAGATACTAAGTCATTATTTTAAGATACTACGTCGAAATTTTGTCACAATGCTGCCAGAAACCCAGTACAAATCCGAGACAAATCAAATTACTGAAAGCTAACGGTTGGTAGCTAACTTTACCATGGCAACCAACACCGCATACCACAACAAATGTCCAGCTTCCATAGAATATGATGGCTAACAGCTAACTAGCATAACTTATTTAGCAAATAAATCGAATTATTCTTGAAAAAAATGGACGTTTTCGTCTAACTTCATTCATAAACTGCCACACTAGCAGGTTTACTAGTCAGACAGCTTTCTGTTTGTTACCCGTAACCTCTACACGATTTAAGGTGGAACGGGAAAATTCGAACAAGAAGCCTGCAGACAGGAAGCCAACTTTAGCATTAGCAAGCTAGCTAACATAGCTACGTACCTGGCACACAGCGAGCGAAACTGATCGCACATTTACAGCTTTCCTTTTTAACGTCAGGGAACGGGTCGGTTATAGTTTTCTGCAGGATTTTCACCACGTCGTCCAGGTATGGAGCGAGGTTCCTCCCGCAGAGCTCTACAGTGAGAGACAGAAGCTCCACCATGGAGAGCCGCAGTTCTTCTGCTGGTTCTAAGATCTCTTTCCCGCCCAGCCGCTGAGCCAAGCAGGGCATTAAATAAGGCAGGGAGTCCTCTGGTTTTGGAACACATCTTATAAAGTCTCCAATCATCTGGACAGCGGTTTCTCTGCATCTCTCCGCGGGGTCTGACAGGCACTTCAGCAGAGGCTTCAGCAGACCTGCAAACACCTCCTGCAGCTCGGAGCTCGACAGCCCTTTATTGGCGAGGGTTTCCCTTCTGATCGACTCTAAAGCTCGCTTTCTGGTGCTCTTGTTGTCTTCGTTTAAACAGTTCAGGTGACGAGCTAAACATCTCAGAACATCAGCAGCAGCAGGTCGCTCCGCTTCGGTCGCCATTACTGTAAACACGTGCTGGAGAGTCCCTGGTTCCTATGGCAACGATCAGCATCACGACAAACAAATCGCTTTCAGGCCAAGCCCACTACTTTCGTACTGTTATGCTATGCTAAGCTAATGGGCTACTATCACATTAAATAGTATGTCAGAATAGCACGCTTGTTGTTCAAAATGCCTGTATAATTCAATGGCTAAGATGTAAACAAAGAAATTTAAAGTGGTTTGATCTGAAATGCTCAGTTTTAGAGAAATTAATTAGAATTCTTTACAGATTGGCACCATACGTTTTAAAAAAAAAGGTTTAAATTATCATTACATACAAAAACTCAGAAGACGTGTAGGTTCATGGTTGCTATTGGTCATTTTGGATTAAATGGCTATATTGGCATTGTAGACACCATGACCCCTGGTTCCTACTGACACCATTATAAAGAAATCCGAGTCTGTATGTTTCTCTATAATGGGCAGTTTCACATCATTCTGCTCTGATTGACTTTATTTACATCCCAATGACTGAAATATGCAAATTTTGAAAAAAATAGTGGAATTCCCCTTTAACTACTATAATATGTGTAGTATATATTATAATACAGTATGTGATTTTGGACACATAGATTAATTCTAAATAAATTGTCCTTATAAATTTACTGTATGATTACTGTTCCCATGTAAATTGAGTTTAAGTATTTTGAATATTAAAGTAGCGGTCATCACCAGTGCCTGTAATTAGTTTCTCGTGAGGTGGGCTAATCAGAAATGTTGTTTATGTTATAATTCCTAGATTAAATTGCATGCTGCTAAAGTTCTATCGCTGCTTATTCAGGCTCACATTTAAGTCTGTCATGTGCCCCAGTGGAGTGCATACTTTGCGACATGTATTTCAGATTAATCATCTGATTAATAGACTCTACTGGGACTCACAATGTCTCCCATGAAAGGGGAACTCCACCGATTTTCCAAAAGTTCTACATAATTAAACGGCTGAGATGTAAACAAAGTCATTCAGAGCGGTTTGGTGTGAAATGCTTTTCCACAGAAACTTACCGAGGCAGTATTGTTCACAGTAGTGGTGACAGGAACCAGACATCTGAAGAGTTTAATACTTCCAAAAGCTCCCTCCCAAAAAAGTTATTACATGAAGTGGTTATGAATACACTGTCTGATGTCTGACACATTGTTTTATGATAGTTTTGTGATAAAGTTTAAAATGTATTTGAATCCATTTATTTTAATGCTTTCATGGCAGAGGGGTACGCACAGGCTGTTGTGAGGCGAAATAGTCCCCCCAAAAATAGTCAGATTCATGACTATTTTAACATGATTCCAATTTCAATTTCAATGATCAACATTACATGTAAAACTCAGAAGACACATGTAGGTTCACTGGTGGTTCTGCATAGTAAATAAAATGGCTATATGTGTGTTGTGTATATTATGATCCCTGGTTCCCATCACCACCACTTTAAAGAAACCAGGGTCTGTAAGTTTCTCTATAAATAAACCATTTGACACTGAACCACTCTGAATGACTGCTTACATTTCAAGCACTTATGATTTACTCAGAAATTCTGAAACATTGGTGGAGCTCCCCTTTAATCCTCAGGACAGTGCTCGCATCTCTGTGTCACTTTATAGTCCAGATCACGTAGGCCAGTAACAGAGAGCAGAGCTCTGCGCTCTAATCCAGTCCAGGAATGTGAACGCGTGCGTAAAAGTGCCGGCTGACGCAGACTGACCCGCAGTTACACAAAGTAAACACAAACCTGACATCACACCTACAAAGCCAGATCCACGCTTATGAACACGAATCGGTTATATTCAGAATATTAAGCAGGGCTTTTTTGTTTATCATCTGATCAATATTTGTTTTCAAACGTGGTCGCCCCTGATGTTTGTTTCGAAAGCAGCCTTGAGGTCGAGCACAGAGACCTATTGACGTCACTGGAATCGACGCAGCGCGGGGCGAGGGGAATCAGCAGCAGCGGTGGAGAGTTCGAATCAGTTCTGCTGAGTCGACTCTGTCGAGCCGTCCGTTTCAAGGAATCGAAAGTTTCACAGTGATTAAGTCAACTGTTCTCAATAGTCTCATCTAATTCACGCACACTGAGCTTCTGTCTGATGTCTGCTAATTCTGCTCACTAATAGATGCACATTACACAAATATTAGTTGAACTACCATTTACACAAAGAACTGTGATGTGATTATTTTTTCATAAGGCATGTCCATTATTAATATATATATATATAAATTAATATATTGAGGCCACAAATTACTATATTGAGGCCACGAGTTAAGTTTCTCATAACGTGTAGCCTCAATACATTAATTTGTGGCTTCAATATAGTAATTCCTGGCCTCATTATAGTAATTTCCTGCCTCAGTATAGAAATTTGTGGCCTAAATAATATAATTTCTGGACTCATTATGGTAATTTGTGATCTCAATATAGTAATTTGTGGCCTCGTTATAGTAATTTCTTGCCTCAATATAGAAATCTGTAGCCTCATTGTAGTAACTCGTGGCCTCTTTATAGTAATTTGTGGCGTCATTATAGTCATTTTTTTGCATCAGTTTAGTAACTTGTGGCCTCAATATAGTAATTTGTGGCCCCAACATAATAAACTGTGATCTCAAAATAGTAACTTGTGGCCTCATTATGGTAATTTGTAGCCTCAATACCTATATTACTAATACATATTTTATTATAATATATACCATAGTAACTCGTGGCCACACCTTATAAATAATCACCATGTCACCCTCGGGGCTCCGTAATGTTTTTTCTAGTTCTGAGTTTATTCCTGAGTTTTATTTACAATCCTTGGTTGCTGCGTAAACGCTAACAAAAAAATCGATTCAACTGAATCGGTTCAATGGAAAGAACCGGTTCAAAAGAACGAGTCGGACGTCGCTAAACACCAGCAGCAGCCTCCAACATCCACCGTCCACCATCATCTCCAGCAACCTAGAGCTCCACAGCATCTCTCCTGTAAACAACGGTAAGAAAGGCGAGGTTAGCGCTGACTGCCTGTCAGTAATGCCGACAAAGACTGACTCGTGATGTCTGAGAATCTGAGCAGTGTTTACGTAGCCTGCGTTATCTGATATCAGTAGGAAGGTGAGCGCAGACGGCTAGCTAACGCGACCACAGCCAGTAAACAGGTGATTTCTATAGGATGTGCCTGATGGGCAGCTCGGTTCTTCGGTCAGTGTCGTTGACGTAGTGTTCCGTGGTCAGCGCCGAGGCTTAAATCGCCAGTGCTCAGGATGTTTCATGTGAATCAATGGCGGAAGTGAGATGATGCCCTACACATAGCAAAAAAGGACGCAAGGCTGCTCTTCATTATAACAGAGTGAAGATCTGTGGATCTTAGACAAAAGCTCAGGAGCATCCCAGAGGACAGGCTAGCAGAAGTTAGACTGAATGTCACCCACTAAATGCTTTCAGTTAGACCAAAACCCTTCATTAGCATCACTGGCAGCCTCCATAGAAGTTCCCATGGAAATGTACACACAGGAACCCCCTTGAGATCAGGCATCTGTAGATGTCATCCACCTGACTGTGTTCTGAAAGAGCAGATAGGGTGCAAAGAACCTGAGGCTGAAATGTTTTTTTTCCTCCTTCACCCCCCAACCCCCCCCTCCCTCCCCCCCCAACCCTGCAGCGGAGATAGGAGATAAGATGGCCACCTCCTCCACCTCCTCCAATCTGGAAGAAGATGAGAGTCTGAAGGGCTGCGAGGTTTTTGTGCAAAAACACAACATCCAGCAGATCCTGAAAGAGTGCATTGTGAGTCTGTGCATCGCCAAGCCCGAGCGTCCTATGAAGTTCCTGCGGGAGCACTTCGAGAAGCTGGAGAAGGTGCGTTCCTGAAGCTCTGCTCATTTTGTCACCTCCTGGCTTTGATATGAAATCGTTTATGGTACGCTGCTGCGTTATTACTGAGATTATGTGTCTTGTTTTTCCTTGTCGTGGATTTTTTGGATTGTGTGTGTAATTTTAATCAGTCTCTGATTGAGTTGGATGTGATACGACATAACGGGGTGGTGTGTCAGGTAAGGTGATGATGACTAGGAGATCATAAGGATGGTCTAAGAGACGCTGTGGTATTATGCAAGTGTAAAATCCGCATTTTGAATACATAATACAGCATTGCAACCCTGCACTTGAAGGGGAAGTCCACTGATTTTTCAAAATGTCTAAGTAATTCAGTGGTTGCGATGTAAACAAAGTCATTCAGAGTGGTTTGATGTGAAATGCTTCATTGTAGAGAAACTTACAGACTCGGATTTATTTACAGTGGTGGTGATAGGAACCAGGGGTCGCCGTGTCTACAACACAAATATAGCCATATTATTTACTATCCAGAACCACCGGTGAACCTAAAGCGTGTCTTCTGAGTTTTTATATGTAATGTTCATGATGGTAAAATAGTGTTAAATCTAAATAAAAAAGTTTTTTGGGGACTATTTTACCTTCATGTATCCCCCCACCATGAATAGATTAAAATAAACTGATTTAAATACATTTTAGGCCAAAATTATCATACCGTAAACTACCGTAAAACAATGTCTCAGACATCAGGCAGAGTGTTCATAACCATTTCATGTAATAACTTTCTGTGAGGGAGCTTTCAGAGGCATTAAACTCTTCAGACGTCTGGTTCCTATCACCACCACTGTGAACAATTCTGACTCTGTAGGTTTTTCTAGAACGGAGCATTTTATACCAAATCACTCTGAATGACTTTGTTTACATCTTGATCATTTAATTATGCGGAAATTTAGAAAGAATAGTGGAGTTCCCCTTTAAGTACACAAATGGTACAGTCCTTTACTTCATCTGATCATCATTTTGCTGGGCTATTTTTAACGTAATTGTGCTTGTAATGTTGGGTAGATCATGTTCATAGCTGATTGCATCTACATTCACTTTGCTGTGGTGTCTCTGATGGGTGAGCAGTGCTGGTGTACTGATGGAGGTGATGTTTTAGAGAGGCGTTTTTTGGACAAAATGTCAGAAGAAATAGTTACAATTCATAACCAGAACACATTTAATGGTAAATATCACCACAGTTATTCAAGCAGGATAATTTAGAATTTTAAAATTTTTTAATCACTGCTTACGAAAAGTGCATTTTCAAAAAAAGATACTTTTTTGTTTGTCATGCTAAGTACTGTGTTTAATCCAAATATACACATATCACATACACAGTCATGTGCCAAGTTTGAACAACCCTAGACTAAATGTTTTGTTCTCTAAGTAAAAAAAAGTTACACATCCTCATAAAAATGACAAGTCAACATAAACATAGCATTTTTTTCTACAAATTATTGTAGTGTGCAATTTCTGTTTAACATGTTGGAAAAGAGGTAAAACAAAAAATATAAAATGTGCTGTAACTTTTGCACAGGCCACACTAATTCAGCACATAAACAGTAAATGTACATTAAAATGGGAAGAAGTGTGTTCTTAGTAGAACACTGAAAACTTTTCATTTATAAAAACAAAAAACATGTAACTTGACCAGGGGTGCCCAAACTTTTGCTTGTGACTTATTTGGACGACAACTCAATTTAAATTTGTCTTTTCAGAGGGTGAAAATGTGACATTATGTTCAGCCTCTGTTCGATTTTTGCAAACAGGCGACATGAACTGTCTGACCATTACTGTCATCTCAGATGTTGGCATGACGACAACCAAGATGCCAGAGCAGCTGTGTTCCAGCAAGTAGAACTTTTCCCCAAATGCTTAAAAGATCAGAATCTCCAAAAGCAGCTCAAACGGGGCTCAAACTGGCATACAAGCATCTGACTCACAGTCTGTGTGGAAGCACTCAGAGTTTCAGCTACTGAATGAAGTGATGAAGTGATGAAGCTCTTCACGCTACTTTCACTTTTCCAAAATGGACAGTAGCCCATTGTCGCTATTAGCTCAGTCTGCGGGGAGCAAAGGAGATCTTATTTGCACTTGAAGACATTCTGCCTGTTTTTTTTGTGCTTCATCTCATGCAGAGGTGCAGCTCCAAAATCAGCTCAAACTGAGTTACAGAGGTCTGGACTGGGTTGCACCAGGTTTGCATAGATTTATACTTAAGTTGGGCGTAAAGTCTTTACTAAGTCCTTAGTTACACTAGTTAGTTTCCAACTATCCTTTTACTGAATTTGGTTGCACCACAAATCAGTAAGTCGTGTCTTGACTAGTAACAACTAACTAATACGTACATCACATTAACATGATGATAACATGTTCAGAACCGATCTTTAAACCCGCTGCCATGGAAACGCAGCAGCAGTTGGCTCTGACTTTTTCCATGGAAAAAAATATCCAGCATAGAAGAGAACAATGTGTGCAAGTTAAACTGAATAAAACGAATTATTTACAGCCGCTGTCTGTTTATTCTTTAATATTTCCCTGAGAAAACTCAATATGCATCTTTTTAAATGACGGTTTCTGGATAACTGACACAACAGCGGAGCCGTTTGTGCAGCTGAGTCTCACTGAGCTGGAGCTGTGAGAGTTTAGCTTAGAGTTAAAACCAGGCCGATGATCAGAGCTGTTAGTAAAATCACAGCGTTTAGAGTTTTTAGCTTAGTTAACCAAAAAAGTCATGTTTTTGTTTTTTTTTCCTGCTTTCTACATGGTTTCTGATGGTTTCCCCAAAACGCACACCTGATCAGGGGGAGGTTTAAATATAACCTGAACTTAGTAAACACTCACGTTACAGCTAGCCTACGTTTGAACTTACGGACAGCTGGTGCATCTGGTCACTGGACCTGAATGTGGAGGTGAAACTCTCTGTTCTCCTTTTGCTTCTTCCACAGTTTGCCCATTTCGTGAGAAGCAAAGGAACTTCTCATTGAGATTCTGCCCCTCTTTTTTAAGGGTGCAAATCTGGTAAAATTCCAAAACCATTTGCATCGCATCTGGTATGTATTTATAGTTTTAATATAAACACGGCAGAAAAAATCATGCTGAATATTTTCCATTTTGGTGTTATTTTTTCCGCATCGTGTTCAGAGTGAAACGGCCTTGGGAAGGAACAGGAACAGTCAAACAACTGGTGCAAATAAATGAATAAAATAAGATGAAGTCATAATAAGCTGCCATCCAGTCATCTACTTGGCACTGTGCAGTTATTGTCCTTGTTTCTAAACTCAGTGTCCATTTTATCTGCTCCACTTACCATATAAGTGCATCTTGTAGTTCTACAGTTACAGACTGTGGGTTATTCTCAGCGCGACATTGGCTAAGCTAACGATAGCTTAGTTAGCAAGCCAGACGTGCTACACACCACAGCATAGGCTTGGTTCCAGCTAACTAATTCTAAAATGACTCCCATTTAGAGGATATCTAAGAGCGCGAAGCCGAGTAACTGGTGTTAGCATGAAAGCCAAACTTGTCCTGTGGTGTTCGGAGCTCTTAGCAGTTGCTAAGCTGTTATCATGGTCAGTTTTTCTGAGGTTCTTCCTTGCAGTGAGCCCTCTAAAACATAAATGGGTGTTTATTTGGCCGTTTAGACATGGAATAGAAATTTCATTTCATAAATCTGAAATACCAGCATACCTTATTACCATTAATGCACCCAAGCCTAATTATACATCTTGTTCCTGGTCATCATCTTCCCTTTAAGAGTTCCAATCACAATTGTCTGCTCCAAGTCAATTGATTCTTCTCGTAATGTGTCTGAAATACGAGAGTTTAGGACGTAAAAATAGGTGAATCCTCTATATTCTCATTTGTAAACGCTGCCACTGCTGTAATGTTTTCCCTACTTTGAATGCATAGCTCTAAAAAAGAGTCTATACCGATTTTATATACTGAGCCCTCAAACCAATCACAGTGGTTTTTACTGTGTGCTGTGAGCATCTTTATCAGTCGCAGTTCCAGATGAGTTTCTGTGGGTCTTTTAACGACTTAAGGCCAAAAACACGCAGACCAATCATTAACCGTGGGCGCATCAAGAGTTCACTAGTGCCTTTTATACACTGCTGTCACACCACAATACCAAAAAATAGCATTATAATTGAAATATTGTGTTTTTGTGTATATTGTGCAGTGCTATTATAGTGCTGTCAATCAAAGGGAGGAAAGTAGAAGAAGCTGCAACATAAAAACCTGTAATAGCAGAATATCATAGTTACAGTGTTTGGTCAGGAGCTGCTTGGAGAGTAACACCCCCGAAGCTGTAATCTCGTGTAAGCTGTGACAGTGTTGGGCGTATTTGCTGCTGCGTGGTGATTTAGATTTATGCATACATTCATAGAGGCTTCAGCAGTATTTCTGAAGCGGGTGACGCGGCGAAAAGATAACATCCTGAAACTGATACCTGAGGTTTCTGAAACGTGTCACAACGTAATTGATTGAAATAACATACTCTGCAAAAGTCAGAGACCACCCATTGTTTGTTTATGCTACAGTCAAAACAGCCATTAAGTACAAGCTATTTATGTTTTAGAAGATATTTATGAAAAAAAAATAGTTATAACACAAAATGATTAACAGTATATCTGCATATACTGTTGATCACTTTTAGAACTCCAAGTGTGTGTATGTGGTGATGGTGTGTTAGTGTGTGTTGTGCTGGTGTGAGTGGATCAGACACAGCAGTGCTGCTGGAGTTTGTAAACACCTCAGTATCACTGCTGGACTGAGAATAGCCAAAAATATCCAGCCCACAGCGTCCTGTGACCACTGATGAACAACCAGAGGATGACCAACACAAACTGTGCAGCAACAGATGAGCTGTTGTCTCTGACTTTACGTCTACAAGGTGGACCAACAATGTAGCTGTGTCTGACAGAGTGGACAGTGAGTGGACTCCAGCAGCACTGCTGTGTCTGATCCACTCATACCAGCGC